CCGCCGGCCAGCCTACAACGCCTCGGGCACTCCGGACAGGGCAGCCTCTGTAGGGGTTGTCTTTTAGCCCTTGGCTGGCCAGAGCACAAAGCCTGGCTTGCGTGTAAGGTTGAGTCACTAGCACCGTTTGTTCTTGAAGAAGGAGACGAGTGGTGGAGCATGCCAAACCTGGAAACCATACCAACCCCTAGAAGAATTGGCGCCATACCGCCTGCCGTTTTCAATTATCTCGAACATCCGTGTCTGCTCTGTGGCTGGGCAGACAACTCGGTAAAACATTGGCTCCGCGAATGCCCCGTCATGACTCACTCTGCGCGCTTGCTTGGTTTACACCAGCCATTAGCGCCTCAGGGGGGGAACTTGCCTAAACATGCTGCGTCCTCGCTAGAACTCATTGCCTCTGCGCGGCGCTATCTCCGAGAGCTTGGCGCCGGCGCAATGTGGACCCCGGGTTGGACTCCGCCGTCAAGGACACATGACATGGGGCCCCTGGAACATGCAACCAGGATAGCGAGCGCCGCTTATTGGGGGGCGCCAGCCCGATTCCGATCTGTTTTTGGACCACCGGCGGACTCTTTACGCAATGGTCCGCATAACGGCTGCCTCTTTTCCCGCGGCCTTAGCGTCTCGGCTGTTGACGCTTTCTCCCGCACGCGCCATCGAGCCACCGCTCAACAACCGTCGGTTACTACCACAGTCGATTTTGTTGAGGGTTTTTCTGTCGCCGTGCTCGACCCCAATGCTGTTGAGGTGGGGTTGCTATATCTTGCACATGCCGTATCACAGCCGAATGTCCGTGTGGAACACCGCCTTTGCTCCTGCGGACGAATCCATGCTTTCGTTACCGCACTTTGCAGCATCCCTGCGGGTGCTTACCTCACAGCTCATGTGCAACGGTACCCTGCTGACGCGCTGTACGTCCAGTTTGATGGTGGTTGTAAGCGACACTTAACAGCTGGGGGGGCTGGCGTTGCGATGTGGCATCAGTTTGTTACTGGCACGGCGGACATTACGTTCTCTTTACCTTTACCGGAATGTGCGGATGCCTATGAGGCCGAGGCGGAGGCGGCAATACTTGCTGCGATCCGATCGTTGGAATACGCACTCACCCTCCGGGGAAGAGGGGTTTCAATTCGAGTTGTCCACATACAGGGAGATAATCTAGCCATTGTGGCCTACTTAGCTGGCTTCGGCCGGCTCCGTAGGGTTGGTCTAGTGCAACGCTTCCAAAGTGCATGGGACGCTCTCGCCAGGTCTCACATCCGTGTTGAGTGGGAACAAGTCCCGCGGAGTGCTAATACAGTCGCTGACTCGCTTGCTGGAGAGGCGCTTGATGCTGCTATCCTTTTGCAGTCTCAATCCCTTGTTCAAACTACTCTATACGTCAGTATTTTTGATGCCCCTGCGTCGGTCTCCCCGCCTACGGCCGGACTGTCCGCTGCGGTTTTGACTGCGTTACAACCTTGTGCACGACATTGGACAGGTGTACAGCTGTCCACTACACTGCAACAATTGCAGGAAAGCAGGGAGGTAATCTCGCTGCCGGAACCGGAGCCCCTGCACTTCCCCCATGTTGGTCGAGCTCTTGCGGTGTTAGGGCCTCACCACCTGCGCGGCATACGGGCTCTGCGCGATCTCTGGCAAGCCTTTCCTTCGAGAACACTAGTCGCCAATGACTATCATCGCAGCTCAACCGTTCCACAGGGCCGCTACTACTGCAGAGCCGGAATCTCACACCTTACTCGGCCTATGCGCCTTCTAGCACTCGGACCCCAATCTACCGAAGTTGACCTCGTTGGCGCACACTACGAAGCATTACGCGCCTTGACCATTTCATTGGGACAGGTCGACCTGCTTCCGCCGGTCCAGCAGGCTAGGGGAATCCTGGCACGTGGTTGCCCGTCTCAAGGCCATGCTTGGGCCACACTTTCGCCCAAGAGACTTCTCAATTACACCATTAATAGTTCTGCGGCCAAAGCCATAGGGCAGCTACACCAAGGCGGCCTTTCTTTTGCCTCGGCTGCTGCGAAGGACGTTTTGTACGCCATTGATGAGGCGAAAGAGTACCTTGCCGCCAATTTACATCGACTGCAATGGTATCAGCGTGATCAGCGATCTACCTCGCGCAACTGGGTTTACTTCGTGCTCGAGGCAGTCGAGGGCCGTCTAGCCCGAGCCCTACTCAGCGCCTTACTGCCTGACGTTGCACATGGGGTCGTATGGCTCCACGACGGCGTGTACGTCCGAGTCGCAGATACTGCTATCTGTGTGCCGGTACTACAACAGGCTGTCGCGGCCGAACTCGGTCAACTCCTTGGCGAGGCGACTGGCACTGTAGCACGGCATTTGCCCAATCCGGAGGAGCTTGTAGGTGTTGCTGATCTCGCCAAACCTCACCAGGAGCTCCTCGCATTCCTTGCCCTCGACAGCCGCCCATCACGTCCAATTGCCTTTACACCGCGGCGGCCCACAGTGAGTGGCCGCCGAGCCCGCCCCCTTCCTGCTCCCGAGCACGCTGCCCGCCGAGCGCACCTCAAGCGCACAGCCGCTAAGGAATTAAGCGTAGCGAAGCGACATTGCGTCGGGCTCCATGCCTTCTTTCGACGAGCGGCTAGCCCGTGAGGGCCTGCATCCTCGCGCCGACCATACTTGGGTACTGGTATCTAAACTGTGCGTGAACAAAGGGCGCCCTTCCCCTCTCTCCATATCTCCGTTTGTTTTAACGGCTGAGGGGCGGATCGGTTTTTGTCCTCTCCCTTTGTGGCAGGGCTAGTGTCTTATTCATGTTGGATTTCCGCCTTGGCATTTACCTGTTTTGTTCCGATGTCTTGTCATGCACCCGTTGCATTTTGGATGCATACTACGCTGCTTTTCTGGCTCGATAGGCTCTGCCTCGGGGGGTAATACTACTCCCCGCTTTGTTTGTAGTTGAGCCGAGAATAGGTACGCCATGGCTCAGCGGGAACTCACCCAAATCCGTGTTGGTAGCACCCCATCGGAGCTGTGTAACACTTTACTCCAGGGACTGCCTAGCTGGATCGGGGACATGCCGGTTTTGGCATATGCTACGCCTCCCATTGCCATTTCAGCGGATGAAGTGTTACGCGAGGTTGGCTTAGCATTCGGCACAGCTTCCGTCTTCCTGGAGTTAAGCGATTCAGCCGGGCAGGTTATGGATGCGGTATTCTGCCCCAGCACCATTTTTGTCCGCGCCGTTATTCCCAACCTCTCGCCTCTGCGATGGGTCATTACGGTGGACTTATATCTGGATCGGGGTGATGAGCAGGCGGCCTTGGAAGTACTGATGTATCGAGATGTCCCTCCGCTGGAGGATGAAATCTGGGATGATACACTGCGCTGCATACTGGAGGAACACTTTGTGCTACTCGCTGTCCTTATTCGACGTGGTCGCCTCTCGGCACATCGCTTCTTGCCAAGTCGTGATGATATCGGGTATCGGGCACCAATGGTGGCGTATGTGATCGATCTTCCATCCAGCTGTCTGGCCGCGTTACTTGCCCTCCGGGCCAGTGCTAACACGCCCGACATGCGGGGGCATACGCCCCTAGCATTTTCAGGTCTTGCTAATGCGCATTCGTGCACTGCCCTTCTTTTGCAAGCGAAAGCAGCACTGGATCCGCCAACTGGTTACAGCCCCTTGCTTCTGGCGGTTGCCCGCGGTCATCGCATTATGGTAAATGCACTGCTCAATGCGCAAGCATGCCCTCACACAGCCGCGCGTCATGGCAGTTTACGCGGGGTTTCACCTTTTGAGCTTGCTTGTCAGTGGGTGGATGAAGAAGTCCTCCGTGCCTTCCGCCTCTATGGATATGAAGTCCCTCGTGCGGCAGGTATATACCCCCCGTTGAAAACGGTGCGTTTTGCCATCAGCGGCCGCGAGATTGGGCGCAGCGAGGCGGGGGAGGACCATGCCAGCCTGATTTTACACTGCCTACAATGGCCGATGGCCGGCCTTGTCGCCCACGAATCGGACGATGAAGTCTCCATCGTATACCGGTTCACCCGGCCTTCACAGGCCTTAGGCCTCCGGCGTGCCCTGGCCAGCGGCAGTCTCGCCACGGCGATGCGCACCCTGGAACTGCACCCTTGCTTGCTGGAGCTACAGGAACCCACGGTCTGGGGCGAATTTGGCCTTCCTATTTATTATGCTATCAGTCGCCAGCTTGGCGGCGCTCTGGCGACCTTGCTGACTGCTCGAGCCTCGCCGAATGTTCCTGCCTTGAGCTCTCGCGCCCGTCCTACTGTCCCTTTACAGTACTAATTCTCGCGAGCCTTGTTTCGGGAGCGGGTGAGGACTAGTATCCCGTCCGATAGGATTTTGGTGGTGATGAGATGCTGAAATCAAAAAGAGCAGCTGCAAAACCGTATAAGTGATTTTCCAGAAAACAAAATGCCATAATTCGTGTCCCCCCCAAACGAGTGCCATAACTCCTTCGCACGCCCCGCCCCACCCCTGCCCGGACCCCCTGTCAACGACAGCCGCCAGTGCGCAACGCATGGCAGCGGTTCGTTTGAGGGTTTCAGAGTTTGGGTGTTGGATTTAGGGTTTTCGGGTGCAGGGGCCATGACCACTGCAAGGGTTTGTTCAACTTTACCTAACCCAAGACACGCTACGAGCTACAGAGCAAAGCTAAGCAGAGAGACCTTTTGACTTTGCCGGAAACGCGAGAAGTAAGTTGAAGCTGCAAGCCAAAGCTAAGCAAAGTAAAGCTACAACGAAGCTTCGAGAGTTTAGACCCACAGTTTAACCGGCAAAGTCAAAGTCTCGCCCTATGGTTCCCCAACGTTCAAAGTGAGGGTTTGACGCGCTCGCTCAGTGAAACGCTGCACCCCGGGCAACAATCCTGCGGGCGTAAAGCAGCACCATGCCACCCCGGGCAATCATCCTGCGGGTGGAGCATATGCTGCACCCCGGGCAAACATCCTGCGGGCGTAAAGCAACAGCATAAAGGCCCCGGGCAAAGATCCTGCGGGCACTGTCATATGTCATCATCTGACACATGTCGTTCCTGTGTCACCGCTGGTAAAGAAAAGTGGGAAGGCCACACCAGGACCTCCTTGCGAAAGAACCAGATGAACTTGAGAGAGCAATCCACCCGGTCTTCTTTGCGCCATTTGTCAGGTAAAGAATCAGTTTGATTCCACCTGCTCAACAGATCTGCATCATCATTTTTCTCACCGGCGATGTGAGAAATATCCAGCTCAATACCCGAAGCTGCAGATATGAGGGAAAGTTTCTGGGCAAACGCTCCCAATGGCCACTTGGCAGTGTAAAGCTTCGCCCCCAAGGCCTCTGTCGAAGCGTTGTCGGGAAAGGAGGGGAGGCGAACTGCCACTCGACCCGAAGGAAATACTGACCTGTAAGCATGTACCAAAGCAATCTGCGCCAAAGTCTCATAGCAGGCAATGTCCTTATGTGCGGGTCGGCGAAGTTCCAAGCTCAAAACCGACAAATCGGAAAGCTGCCAGGCCTGAGAAAACCAAATGTAAGCACCAGACGGGAAGGCAATAAAACCGCCAATCCCAATGAGCTCTCCATCAGCTCTTGCATCCGCAAAGGCCTCAACCTGGAGTCGCAAAGGAACAGAAAGAGCCGTATAAGGCTGAGGTCTTCGACACCATTCTCTCCAGAATGAAAGAAAGGTCCGCGATGCTGGTGACAAAGAACGCCGATCAGATTTGGGATTGGTCACCCGCATCCAGATCCGATTGGAGGTACGGACCTTGCAAAGGTCTTGCTTTGTTTTCAGTTCTGTATGTCGTGCTTCCAGTAATTTGCCTCCCAGCGGAACTTGAGTACCCGGAGGTACGGATGTAAAGCGAAGATCATCGTCAAGGTAGTTAGCCAAAGAAGGCCAGAGCCCCTGTGATATGCTATACTGGGAAGCCAAATGCCGATGTAGATCTGAGAAAAGGGACGCCAGCCAGGGTTTGCAAGATCTGTAAAGCTGACAGAACCACTGTAGTAGTCCTACCAACTTGTGGAGCAAAGCACTGGTAACCCTTCTGGACCGTGTAGCATCCTTGATCAAGTTGAAAAGCTTATCAACTTTTTCTTGCGGAATATGAAAAGAGCCGCTGGTAAAGTTGAATGTCCAACCAATCCAGGTAATGCAACTTCCCAATTGTAACTTGGCCCAGCTCAAAGGCACTCCGAATATAGATGTAAAGCAAAGTAAGAGTGACGCAGAGTACAGGATGCACTCTCGGTCCTGGATGAAAAGAAAATCGTCGACGTAGCCCATGAGAGCATGGCGCACAAAGATCCAGAGATGCATGAGTCGTAAAAGCATGCCCGCCAGTCGCTGAAACCACAAAGCAGAGAAGTTTGCTCCGAATGGACAAACTCGGTAAAAGAAAAGTCTGTCATCCTTACCGTCTCCACCCGGTAAAGTGACACCGAGCAGTCCCTGGTCAGCCTCTTTGACCCTAACCGTTTTATGCGCCGCGTTGACGTCGAGATGGAAGCCTTCACACAGGCCTGCATGAAGGCGCAAAGGAAAGCAATCTCGAACATCTTGTAGACCTGGCAAAGTGTAGCGCTCAGGGATAGAGCATGCATCGTTGGTGCCACACACGGTGGAGTCAACCACCAGCCTGGGAGCTCTCGGGGGAGAAAGTACGAGGGACATTTTCCCTACCGCAACGCGCTCTCCCCAACGTTCCTGTGCCGCCTGTAAAGAAGGCATCTCTAACAGCCATCCTTTCTGGACCTCGGCATGCACCAACTCTCGCAAAGTGTCTGGATCATTATTGGCACTTTGCCAGTTGTCCTTGGCAATGGAAAGCTGGTGATCAAGTTCCGGTGCTGTCGGATGTGGTATGAAAACCTTGGAGAGCGGGATGTCACTGTCATATCCTGTGGGAACCCCATCAAGCAGGCACTGGCAAAGGGTATCATCCTTGTCCTTGACAAACTGTGAGAAGAACTTCAAAGCATGCAAAGCGTAAGGTTGATGGTCCGGAATCGTCCAGTCAATCACATGTGACGATCCTTGTTCTGAGACCCAGGACTGAAAAAGCTGTCTGAGATGCTGAATCTCGCCCTCCTGAAAGAGTGGCTCTGAGCTGTGCTGCAAGGCATGGGCCTGTAGTCGTTGTGGGATCTTTTCATCGAAGATCCACTGCCGAAGTTTGGACCTGAGATCGCAAAGTACATCCGGAACTCCAGGTGGAGGCGTACTCCAATCAGGCACTGAGTAAATCCCAGCACCATCCTGGTTGGCAAAGGGTGGATCGAATCTCGCTTTGACATGCCTCAGAAAAGGAATCTGGCCAAACTGCAAATCTTTAGGTTCCGGACTTCTCTGAGCGAAAAGATGCAGGGAACCCTCGGCCACTGCGAGCACAAAGTCCGCGCTCAAGGAAGAAAAGTCAAATTCCCGATGGGCCTGCATTGAAGACCCCGTCGAGGAAGCAGTGGCTAAAAACTGCAAAGATGAAAAGGACGCAGCCAGGAGTCCAAAGCCTTCGAAGTTGCAACCAAACCGTTGTGGGTCCCAGAAAATAGCATCTGCACCCATCTGCTGTAAAAGAAAAATCACCGAAGCATGGCTCCACACTGAAGAACCAGAGTGCTGAGAAAGCAGTACGTGAGAACCCGCTGCAAAGCATGCGTGTGCTATCTGAATCATGCGATCGAAAAGATTCGAAGGGAAATCACTGGCGCAGAGCAAGATGTGCAAAAGGGCAACCTGCCCAGAGTGACAAACCCTGAGCAAGGAAAAGAAGAACGCATCTTGTAGAAGGTCACGTTCAGGGAAAATTTCGGGAGCGACCGAGAAAGTATCACAGCCAGCTCCAAGAAATGCTGCTGAAAGAGGGCGCCGGGCCCCCCCGTTGATGTCCAGGAAAATGCCTGAGTCGAGTTCCGAGACAGAGCATGCAAAGTTCTGAGGAGCACTCTGTACCACGGGCTCCGGAGGAGTAGCACATGGTTGTGGAAAAGGAGCATCTCCTGTAGCATCTGCAGGCAAAGCAACTGGAACCAGGCCTTCCTCGCCTGCATAGTCCGGGCCCGGTCCCCCTCATGCACCTGCCTTTTGTGCATGCTGAAAAGCCGGATGCTTCTGCAGGCAAATCTTGCCGTTCTCCAGGATCACGGGGCAAAGGTGCTCAAACTTGCAATTGTTGGAAGTGCAGCCTTTGTGGGTACTGTATGCCATGCAAAGCACCTTGGTCTCACCATTGATCTTCGCTTTGTTTGCCCACTCAAAGGCATGTGTACCTTTGGTAAAGGTAGACTTCCCCTTTCCTGGAGTTGTGCCGCCTTTGCCCCCTGTGGACTTGCCTCCTTTGGGGGTAAGGCCCTTCCAGGGCTCCTTGCCACCCTTTCCATCACCTTTCTTGCCTTTGAAAGGAGCGAGTCGAGGAGCAAGCAAAGCAACCAGCTCGGCACGAACGTCAGTGAACTCATGTAAAGCATCATCCACCGACCAGCCTTCCTGCCGAAGTTGGCCAACGACTTCCCAACATCGACTGCTTCGCACTCCTGTGCATTGGGCGGACGCAAAGTTGGGTCTGGTCTTGCCTGAACATGTTTCAAGAATTTGCGCTCATAGGAACGTAAAGTAGCAAGATGAGCGATGTCCGCAAGCGCGAGCGCGTTGGAATGTATGGAAAGTAAATTGCTTATTCCATATAATCCCATGTTCTCCGCAACGTTGCGAGAGGGCACGTCGTCGTAAAGGACGTCGGTAAAGTTCTCAAATCTCGCCAACTTTCTGGGCCTGGACGAGTTGTAATCCTCTTCTTGTTGTTTGGAAAGTCTATGTTTCCAGGAGATGAACTTCCAGTCCGACGTGCCTTTAAGCCTGTAAGCGAGAGAAAGCAAACGCGCACTCGGAAAGTTGGTGTCATCGAGAATTTCGGATGGGTAGGATTTCTCAAAATCCCGCTTCAACTGCAAAGTCGTTTCCGAGGAGAGCTTGGGAGGAAAGGTCTCCGCCCAAGACGTATGCAAAGTACTCGCAGAGGAATCTGAGGCCACCGACGGCAAATTGCATATCTTGTGAGCCTGCACCCACAGCATCCTGAGGACAGGGAGTTCATCTGCATCAGGTGACCAGCCTTTGGAAGCCAGGAAAGCATCAAGACCTTCCAGGTTTACGGTGCCAAGGCCAAACGAAAGCAAAGTCAAATCACCAAGCGAGGCTGCAGATGCCGGAATCGAGAGTTGCAAAGCTGTGGCTAACTGCTGCATCGTAGATCTCGAGGATAAGGAATCCATAACCTGACAAGCACGCTGGTGGCAGAGGTTAAGCAAGATCATACGCGAAAGTGCAACAGGGCAAGCCGAAATTTTTCTCGAAGAGCAAAGGAAGTCGATGACGCGTGCTGCTGGGTCCCAAACGAAAGGAAAAAGGCCGGAGGCCCGTGCAAGGCTGAGCAAAGCATATCTACAGTGAGCAAGACGCTAAAGTAAAGTAACAGCTGTGGGAACCCAGCATTGACGCAATTAAGAACTTCACCGCCAGAAAAAGCACCGTAAAGGACGCGTCTGGCGGTAAAGTATGACGCTACTGCCCGTACGCATTGCAGAAAGTATTGCGCCCCTGACGTCGACGGTATTCTCCATAACAGAGTCTGCAGCGATGGACATGTGCATGAGTAGGGTCAAGCAAAGTAGCACCGCATGTACCTGCTCCTGAGCAGCTTGTGCAACCTTCTCGGCACCAGAATACCGTTGCCCGTTGGATCAACTGTGTTTCGCCCCACGAGGTACGAAACACACGCTGGTTTTGCGGTAAAGTTCTGGTACCCGCACCGTCCGTGGGTTCTGAGCTTTGCGGTAAAGAACTACCGTCTTGTGCTGGGGTAGTCCCCGAAGTAGCCGACGATCGTAAAGGAGGGGACGAGTCGGTAGAGGTCGTCGAAGGCAAAGGATCCGACTGGGTAGCCGAGGTAGAGCCAGCTGCACCATCTGGAGGCGGGTGCAAAGTATCTGAACTCCCCTGGGATGCCCGCAAAGAAAGCCAAAACTCCAACCACTGCTGTCTATCGTACCCCATCCAATCGTCAAAGAATGAGGTAGCCTGCCACCTCCGAAAGCTGCGAAAAGTTCCACGGCACATAGTTGAAGTCCTCAGCCTCCTCCGTGGTGGGTGTAGGCAAAGAAGAGGGCGGCTCATCAGTGGAAAGCACCTCAGTTACCGGCGGGGTGGAGGGTGGATCCGCATCCACGGTGCACGGCAAAGTTTCGCCCGGAGCTTCGGATTCCGTCTGCAAAGTAGTAGTGCCCGGGCGTGGGTCCCAGCGCTCCAGGTGTCTGGTAATGTCGCTAGGGACCCAGGGCTCTGAGGAGGCTTACGGTTCTTCCTCCCAGGAAGGCGCCGGAGTCGGCACCCAGTCCTCTGTGCCCCATTCGTGGCCAGGGCCTTCCGAGGCTGGTAAAGTAGATGGGGGAGCCTCTGCAGGTGTATGCAAAGTAGAGGTATCCTCTGTAGTAGCCCCATCAAGTTCATCCGAGGGTGCCGGCTCCGTCGTAGTAGTGCAAGGCAAAGTAGAAGCGATATCCTGGGTCGAGGCATCCACTTGATCTTGCAAAGCTGAACGCCAGAAGCTGAACCACTGCTCACGGGAATAACCGTCCCGCCCTGCGAAACGTTCCGAGGCATCCCAGAGATCCCAAGCCGAGAGCTCCGAAAAGTTCTCCGGAAAGTAGTCACTCTGTGCCATGACGCAAAGAAAAGCGGAAGCTTGCGAAGGGAACGCGTGCAAAGGCTCGGGCAAAGCTCTACGCGGCACACGAAGCTTCACATGAGAGACTGTGCTGCTGCTTGCAACGCTGAATCACAAAGTTGGCATGTGACTACGCTGATAAGCACGCAAAGCTGACGAAGTGTGACGCGAATTCGGCTCGATTATGCCGAATATATCTCGAAGAAGCGGGGTCTGATAACCCGTTATGACGCAAACAACGCACGCACTTGCTCAAGACGCAAGTAGCGCACAAATGGCGCACATTAGGACGCAACAATGCGCCGATTAGGACGCAAAAGCGACGCAACACATACCGCTGGCGCACACTAAGGCGCAAAGCTGACGCAAAGCAGACGCAAGCGACGCAATTAGCGCACATTAGGCGCACATTAGGACGCAAACACTACGCCAAGCCGAATTTGACACACATTAGGACGCTAAAGTTGACGCAAAGCAGATGTATCAGCTTAATCGGCGCGCATCTGCCGCCAAGTGGGCGCGGGAATCATGCAAAGCACTGCAGTGTTACACATGTACTGTAACAGCACCCTTGAACAAAGCTGACTTGTCACAACAGTTGTGCAGCAGGGCCTTGTACGCAAAGTAGTCGGGAGTCCCCCGAGCTCCGATACGCTAAAGCTGGAAGCGAGCCGAGGCTGTGACAGGCGAGGCTGGTAGCGAACAGTAGAGGGGAAGGCATATGCACTGCAATCACATGCACTCCCTGCCTGCACCTGACAAAAATTTTTCCGCGAAAGCTCAAAGCTCCAAGCATGCCTTGTGTCTGCAAAGCTTCTTACCTGTGGGTGCAAAATGCACAACTTGAAAGACACTGACTATACACCCGCAGGCAGGTTTCAGATGCACTCCTTGGAAAGTGGTGCAACGGTCGAGCTCAGAGCACACCACCGCCTTATGAATAGTCTTGGCAGTGATGATGAAAAGAAGCTCATCCGGAGTGCCTGACTCACCTGACGAGCGCAAAGGAAGTGTGGTTGCCTTCTCTGGGGCCACAACATCACCAGGGTCCGATGCCAACGGGAAAGTAGCACCTGCCAAATCTGCTTCCACATCGATGGTAGGGCAAAGCTGAGTGTTCTGCTCAAAAGCCGGTGGACCCCCTGGAATCGCAAAGCAGGGATCGGCAAAGCTGACAGACCGAGATTCCAGTGCCGGTTCCTGTAAAGGAACTTGTCCGCCGCGATGCTGAGGACACAAAGGTCGCCAACCTTGTCGAATGGAAAGCAAAAGCTCTTTCTGTAAAGTTAACGCACCGAAAACATCATCTCTGCTGTAGAGGCGTGCGCTGCTATGCCTGTGGTGACCTTGCACAGCTCGCCGATCTTCGCTGATGCAAAGTTGATTTGCCCATGATAACAGCGTGGTTTTGCAGCTATGCAAAGTATAATTCTGCACCTGAGCATCTGAGAGCCTGTTCCAACGCGATAAAAGGTGACGTAAAGTAGCAAGGCCCTCCCCATATGTCATGGGAACGAACAACTCGTCGTCGCTCGCATGGAAAAGTAAGGCATCTGGCTCCACAGGGCCCGCCACCTTTCCAATACGACACCATTCATTTTTCAGTAAAGCAAGCCATAGCTGGAACCATGGACCAACCAGGCCCACTCCTACCACCCCAAAGGGAGCACCACGCACTGAGGTCTTGGTCCGGAAAGAAATTCCACGGCCCACCTCTTGTTCGTAAAGTAAAGATCCCCACTTCACATGCATGGTATCGCTGAACCGCAGAGAGCCCCAAATCATAACCAGGAGCGCCCCGATGTTCAATTGCAAATCAGGAAAGGTATTTGAAAGCAGGCAAAACTCCAGGTAAGCAACAAAATCCAGTGGCAAAGGCACTGACTCTCGGCGATCTGCTTCGTTACGTTGGTGCGCCACCGAATGAAAAAGACCTGTGTAAAGATCCGGAAAGGAAATGGTGGCCACCTTGACCATCCACCTCAGAGCCTTCAACGTATTGAGGGGGAAGCATGACATGGGAACTTCTTCTTCATCCTCAGGGGACCGGTAAAGCTGTATCATAACATCATAAGCTTGCACCTGGGAGATCCGAGAGGCATCGAAGCCCAGATCCTGAAGCAAGGCAAAGTACTGCAAGCAACTCTGCACATACCTGACCAATGTGGTGTCCGCCACGGACGCCACCAGCTGAGCTAGTAAAGCTTCTGAGGACGCCGACTCTAAAATTTCCTGCAAAGCAGCGCTCAAAGGCGCAAGGAGCAAAACTAGCTGGCGCCACAAAAGAATGCCCTTGGCGCGGAGCTTTGCATGCACATCGTTCTGCAAAGTAACCCGTGCTGTCGAGGTTGCGGGCCGGGCTGGCAAAGCAAATTTGCCAGGTAGCACAGTGGGTGGTTCTGGAGGAAATGCAAATTCGGCTGAAGAAGCAAAAGCATCTGCCGCCTGAAGGAGGTTGTCCACCATAGTGTCACTCAAAGCTGAAACACCAGCCTCGTCCCCAGTGCCTGAAAAGCAGGAGACCGACGAGGGAGGCCTGGACTCTGAGGGGAAGACCGCGTAATCACGAGCAGAAAGAAAAGCAGGTCTGTCCCTTGCATCCTGTGAAGAGCGCAGCGTAAAAGCAGAGCGCTGAGAGAAAACCGGTCGAGCTTTGGGCACATCACCCCGAGACGGCGCCGTAGCCGCTGGAGAAGACCTGTCCACCAGTGGAAAGTGTGGTCGAGGCCGAGGCTTCCACTTGGGTGCCGCAGGCACCGTCGGCAAAGCAGGAGCACCTGGGTTCCAAGATGATGGTACCGGCAAATCAAACGCCGAAGTGGCCTCCACCACAGCAAAGGAACCATCACCTGAAGAAAGTGTCAAAGCAGGACTAGAATCATCCTTACCGTCTTCCCGCTCCATAGGAGCGTCTTGCAAAGAAGCCTCTTCCGGTTGTCGCCTGTAACGTTTCACACGAAAGCGACTATCATCGGAGGCATCTGCCATATCTCAATCAAGTGAATCCAGAAAAGAATCACCGTCTGTACGCTCCGGTTGGCCTTCAAGAATTTGCAGGCGAGCACTCAGAATATCAATATCTGTATGCAAAGCAGGCAATCGTTGTTGAAAAATATGATCTACTCTTTCGTGTACTCCGCCCAAAGCTTCGAGAGTGTCTTCGCGTAGCTCAAGTAAAGCAGCAAAGAAATCTTCACGGATCGCTGCACTCTCTTTGCTGGCCTGCTTCTTGGCACCTTCAAAAAGGCTCCAAAGACTACTGTCAAAGTAAGTGCGGTACTCTTCCAGCTTTGCCAAAGAAGTTTGGCGCGACGATTGGAGAGCGGAAAGTTGCTCCTCCAGTGCAGCGATCCTGTCTTGTAAAGCAGCCTGACACGGGGAAGTTTCCGACTTCTGTGGTGCAGAAACAGCCTCCGAGTCCATCCAAGGACGCGTGGAAACTAATGTCGTCCTAAAATTGCAAAACTGACGCGTGCTGAAGTAAATCATGTGCATGAAAAAGTAAAAGCAATATGCTGCTTGTTCAAATTTTTAAAGCATGGAGCGAAGCTTTAAGCTATGCTGAAGCACGCGTGTCTTGGGCCGAAATGTTGTGTTTGGAACATGGTAAAGTAAAACACCCATGAGTAAACACATGAAACGGGTATCGGGTTTGGACTTTAGGGTGAAGGCGGCCCGACCACTGCACCCCCCCACCCACCCCAACCCGCACCCTGCCCAACGTCCCGCCCCCACCCCCCACCACCGACCCACCCAACCCACACGCAGCCGGCCACAAATCCTTCTTCTGTGTAAAGAAAATTCACTTGGTGTTCCCTTTTTCAGCATTCCAAAAGGAAAATGCGATTCTTTGTTTGTTTGTCAAAAAGACGCTTCAGTCAAGTCCGCAATTTTGCCGCTCCTCCCAAGCGAACACAGACAGGTTCATGAAGTGTCATTTGCTTTGCTCTCCTCCCACAGTAAGAAAAGGCTTCAACGAAGCTTATCTTTGGGCCTGAGTTCGGAAAACATAATGTGCAGAGTTTATATGCATGTTCTTGGCGTTCTTTGTGCCAAAGGCAAAAGATCCAAGAACACAAGCGTGATTCCAATCAGATACCTACTAGCTCAAACACGTGTAGTGCCTTCAACCTGTCAGAAGCTTCATTCAAGAACAAGTCACTCTGTGCCCCGTCCCACCTCACCCCCACGATTTTCAACCCTTGGCCCCCCACCCTCCACTACCTCTCAGACCTGCCACCCCGCCCCAATTCCGACAACGCCATTCCCCGGCTCCCGCACCCCCAATGCCCCGCCGACAACCCCCCCCCCCCCCACCCAACCCACACCCCCACAACGCCCCTACCCACACCACCCACACCCCACCCACCGCCCGCCCACCCAACCCCACTCCACCCTGACCCACCTCACACACAACTTCCGCATAACTTCTGCATAAGCCCCTGGCCTATGCAGAAGTACTTCTGCATAAGCGCGATATTTATGCAGAAGTTATGCAGAAGTTAAGAGCTAAGCCAGACTCAAACTTCTGCATATATGCAGAAGTTGGTGTTGGGCCCGCGCGATAAACTGCATAGGCCCAAGGGTCTATGCAGAAGCTATGCAGAAGTTCTGCGTAGACCCCTGGGCCTATGCAGTTTATCGTGCTGGCCCAAAACCAACTTCTGCATATATGCAGAAGTTTGAGTCTAGCTTAGCTCTTAACTTCTGCATAACTTCTGCATAAATATCGCGCTTATGCAGAAGTACTTCTGCATAGGCCAGGGGCTTATGCAGAAGTTATGCGGAAGTTGCGTGGCTATGCAGAGGTGGTCCGCGCAAACCCAACATAGCCCCGTCTATCCGTTCCCCTCCGTGAAACCCAGCCCCGAACCTTACTTCCCGCCCTCGGCAGCCATGAGGCCAACTCCACCCCAACCGACCAACTGCCCCCCAAGCCCAAAACTCTCGGTTTCCGTTCCCCTCCACGAAACCAATCCCAAACCTCCTTCCCCCAC